GACAACTTTGAAGTTCTCCGCTGGAGTATATGCCCCAGAACTTCTTCAGGCCTTCGACGCTTCTGAAAGCCAAGAGGAGCTTTATACATCCTTGCACCACACCAGAAATGTAGCAACCACAAGATCTGAGTAACTGCACTACTTTTTCAGGCAGGCTTTCCTCTGTCACCATTGTATCTATTTCTTCAAGAAGAAGTTCCCCCGAAGAATACCTTCTGCACTTAGCCGGTAAAACTGTTTAAGGAAGGGGGAGGGGGGAGGGATGAGAAATTTTTAATTGAAATTCTCAAGTTTGCAAAGATTGCACATAAAATGGTAATGATTTGTGATATCATTCATGTAAATCTGGAAATTTACTAAAAACTAAAATTGCTTTACAAACCAGTTTATGAAACAGGAAATCAACCAACTTACTTGCTATGTTTGTGTCTCTTGAGTCCTGAACGACGATGCAGTTTTTGTAATAATTTTCGGCCTGCACTTCCGCTTTTTTTCCTGCCGTTTTCTGCTCCTCTGTGAGACCTATTTTTTTCAGATTTATGAAATCGGAACGTATAAGAGAAACTTGTGTCAACCCTGCAGTGTCCCTAACGTGTGACTCTCTTATAATGAAACTTTAAACATACATTTTTCAAATGAAAAAGCGGTGAGATAATCATCCCCCCCCCCCCACAGTAAGTCGATTTGTGATCCTATCCTATAAAGTAAAACCATAATATGGGATTCAACAAGGGGTCAAATTATTTACCTACAATTCATAATTTGGACCCAAAATCATTTAAACAAATAACCAACTTGAGTTGTCTTTCAAATGAAAGCCCCTGTAGTTCCCTTTAACTTGATACTACATTTAATTTGTAATGCTGGTAGTTCGGAAGATTTGGTAAATTTTCCTATTTTCTGCTGTTTCCGATTTCACATGGAATGGCCCCTGTATTAAAATTAAAAAGCTATGTAGGCCTAGGCTGAAAAGGAACGTGAACACTGCAGTATTTTTTTTTCTCTGTCAGATGCGATTTCTGACATTGCACGTAGGCCTACATGTTATGCGGTATATTGTTTACATGTACACAATAGTGAAAGCACAAAGAACATAAAATGTTATGCTATCGAAACGACAATTATCAGTATTCAATCATCAAAAAAGATCATCATTCAGTTCATATACGTACCACTACCGCCAGAGGCCATTGTTGGCGACCTCGTAAGTCTTGAACTGTATGAGAGGACTTCAGCTAACGGAAAGAATGATGCAAAGTTGCGACGTATTTTGCTGTATGTGTACCAAGCCTGTCCCCAACTCTCAACTCTCCCTGGAGGTAGTGCGACGTGCAATTATGTATTTTTTTTCCAGCTGGATACCACAATTTTGGCCAAAGTCCATAGAGCAGACACGTAAAATGCGCGGGTTATTTGCAGTGACGTAGCCACGAATTTTTCAGGGGGGGGGGGGAGGCGCTGGGGGGGGGGGGTCTGGAACATTTCATGGGGGGGGGCGTCATGTTACTATCTAAGCGGAGCATAGGGGTTCTTGTACACACATGACCTGGGGTTCTTGTACACACATGACCTGTTAAGTCTTTAGGAGTTACCTGGTGGTGCTGTGAATTGCTGGGCTTGCGCTCTCAATGTTGGACAAGGTTGTTGGGACACTTAAGCTGGCGTTTTGCCAAACGACTGTAGACAACGATTTGCATGACCATACGACCAGGAAAATTTTGATCTACAGATACCCCCATACCCCCCCCCCCACCTGTCAATGTTGCATTCATGCTAATTTTCGGACTAGACACCAACATTGTGAGAGGGAGCTTTGTGCAATAATAATAACAATACCTTAAATACCTAATTATACGAAAAAAACAGCGCATGCACTCACTTGAATTAAAAGCAACTAGTTCTAACCAACCACAGAAGTCAATGTGGTGTCTACACAAGTTTGATCCTTCTGTTCTTATAGGATGCTGCAAACTTGTCAACGAACTCATCCATGTTCAGCTTTTCAGTGCGCCTCCTCTCAATGGACAACATGCCAAGGTCGCTCAGGCGTTCATTCTCCATGGAATTCCTAAGATATGTCTTGATATAGGCCCAAAAAAAATAAGTCGGTCTCTGGTCAGCGCGCGCGTCGATTTTAATCATGCGCGTCAATCTTTTTTTTTTCCAAAATTGAAAGAAAGTGCATGACAGGAGACTGGTGACGAGTCTATGATTGGTTGATGTGCTCTCCTTTAATTACTGATTGTTCTCACATTACAATGATGAAGATAGTAGCTGAGCTGATTAGGTTAATTCACTGATGAAGACTTTAAGCCGTGGAATGGGAGCCGTGAACTGCAATGGAGGTTGTGTAAGCCGTGTGGTAGGCCGTGGTTCTACAAGAAAACCAAATTAATACAATAATAAATATTGGAACCTACATTTATGAGGTGACATGAAAAACACATGAAAATGGACTAAGATTCATGTAATAATTTCCCCAAGTATCAACTAAATTATCTAACAAACCAAGGGATTAGATAAGCTATTATAAGCCCCAAATTACACTAAATTAACCAGCAATAATGATTAAATATGAGGGCATAATCCTGAGTCAAAAGATCAATAAAATGTACGTACATGTACCCATAAAACAACATGTGATGAAACCCACGTTATTTATCCATTACAAACCCCCCCCCCAAAAAAAATATATCCCTTAAAATCATCTATAAATCTACTCACTGTTAGCTTCTACGCACAGCCGCTGATGGACGGCATACAGATGATTAGGAACATTTTGGTTAACCTGGGATTTTACGTTTGATTGAAGGAATAATTGCGAGGTTTATCGGAATGATTTCAGGACAAATGTGACTAAAATTGGAATCACGTTGGAATTTTCTAGATTCAAAATCACGAGAGGGCGCTATACCAATTTAACGCTTAGACACTTTCGTACAGCCGCCCCTAAATTTGAGCATAAAATTTACTAGATCTGAAAGTGTCCCTAAGAATCACAAGAGTAATGATACAGGTTAACAGTTTAGGTGTTGTCGGGTTCACCATCGGGTAGGTTGTCGTCACTGACCTCCGGAAGCCTGATCAGTCGTGCCACTGGGCGAGTGTAGGTTTTACCTCGAACGCTCACGCTGGCAGTGCGGACACGACCGTCGGAACCCGGAAAGGTCTCTGCAACTCTTCCGATGGGCCACTGAGCTCTGCTGAGTGCTGGGTCGACAATCATAACGACATCATTGGTGGTCAGGTTCGGACGGTCTGTACGCCACTTCTGGCGCTCCTGGAGAGTCGGCAAGTAGGATTTGACGAACCCGGACCAAAAGTGATCAGCGAGGACCTGGCTGTGCTTCCAGCGTCGTCTGCCAAGTAGATCCCTTGCAGGATAGACAACCTGAGGGAGAGTCGCATCATGCCGCCCCATCAGCAGAAGGTTTGGAGTGACTGGATCGGGATCTGCAACATTAGATGAGACATACCCCAGAGGCTTGGAATTTAAGATTCCCTCGACTTCAATGAGCACGGTGCGAAGTACTGACTCAGGGACGGACTGCTCATTCAGGGCAACTCTCAGGCCATCTTTCACGGACTTGATCTTTCTCAAACTTGACCTGGTGCTTGGCAAGCTCCTGCTGTAAGATGGGATCCATGGCAGCAAAGGCGTCTCGTAGCTCATTATCCCCTCCTTTGAAATTAGTGCCACAGTCGCACAGGATCTCAAATGGTTTCCCTCTTCTGGAGATGAACCGTCTAAAGGCCATCAAGAACGCGTCAGTATCGAGGCTGTCTAGTAGGTCAAGGTGAATGGCCCTGGTGGTCATACATTTAAATATGATCCCCCAACGCTTCTCGCTCCTTCTCCCAATCTTGCACGTCATTGGACCGAAACAGTCTACCCCTGTTGAGTAGAAGGGAGGCTTGAAGAGGCGGAGGCGTGCTGGAGGCAAGTCTCCCATCGTCGGAACTTGAGGGCTAGCTCTCCACTTCTGGCATTCGAAGCACTGGCGTTGATGCTTTCGGATTGCTTCTCTTCCACGTAGTATCCAAAACTTACGTCGGATCTCTGCCAGGATGCGCTCGGGTCCGTAGTGGAGCAACTTCTCATCGTAGTCACGGATGATAAGCTTTGTTATGGGATGAGCTGGATTCATCACGATGGGATGCTTGGTGTCTTTGGGTAGATCTTGGGTACGACGAAGACGTCCTCCCACTCGGATGAGGCCGCAAGATTCGTCATACTCTGGAGCAAGCTGCAGGAGTCTGCTACCACGGGGGAGCTCTTTGCCTGCTTGGATGCAAGCAATCTCCTCTGGGAAGGAATCTTGTTGAGCACACTGATAAAGAAACATCTCGGCTTCTACCCGTTGTTCAACCAACTTGGTAGGATCAGCATCCTCGGCCGCCCCATGAAGATGCTGCATGGTAGCTGCAACAAGGTCACTCCAGGTGTCATGTTCGGATGGATCAGGTAAGTTGGGCTGAATGACGACCACAGCACCGCAGAAGGTTGACTTCTTGAACTCAGATGGGTCTTCTGTCTGTGTAGACGGGTGAGCTGGCCATGTGTCGGGAGACGACCGGAGAAAGGAAGGACCATCTCTCCATCTGTTGGCTTGGCTGAGGTCAACCAGGGTTTTGCCTCTCGTAAGGTCATCTGTGGGGTTGTTCTTGGTGTCGACATACCGCCACTTGTCAACATCGGTCAGGGTCTGTATTTCTGCGACACGGGTGCCAACGAACACTTTATACCGGCAGGATTCTGATTGCAGCCAGGTGAGCACAGTAGTCGAGTCACTCCACAGGATGACTTCATCAAGAGGAAGAGTCAACTCTTTCTGGACAAGATCAGCTAGTTGGGCACCGGCTAAGGCTGCAGAGAGCTCTAGACGAGGCATTGAGAGTTGCCGTTTGGGGGCAACACGGGACCTGGCTATGATGAAGCTAACATGGACGTTGTGATCTTCATCTTCTGTTCGGATGTAAGCCACAGCTCCGTAAACTCTCTACGATGCATCACAGAAAATGTGAAGTTGGCGATGGGCAGCCTCTGTCTTGACATTTGGTGGTGTGTAGCATCTGTTAAGCTTCACTCCAGTCAGGTGGGGAAGTTCACTCTCCCAGGCTTGCCACTGGTCTCTGATATCACCCGGCTCAAGTGGATCATCCCAGTTGCGCTTCGTCTTCCACAGGTCTTGGACAATGACTCTCGCTCGGGCTGTAAATGGGGTTAGGTACCCTATAGGGTCGTACTGGCTCGCAAGGATCTTATACATATTCCTCATGTTGAGGCAGTCATAGCTGATGGGTCTGTGGCGGTACAGCAGGGCATCTGAACTGCATTCCCACAACATTCCAAGAGGGGCTTCAGTGGAATTGGTCTCCCCGAAGGTTAACCACAGCTCACAGCCATCAGAACGGGCATCTGGTGGGAGATCTTCTACTACAGCAGGAACGTTGCTGGCCCACTGTCGTATTTCAAACCCACCGTCAGAAAGCAGGTTTCGCATCTTCTGGACAAGGGCTTTGGCATCTGTCTCGACTGGTAGACTCTGCAAGCAGTTGTCAACGTAGAAGGACTTGTCGACTGCCTTTGCAACTTCTGGATAGTCCTTCTCATGGTCAAAGGCGTGCTTTCTCAGAGCATAGGTAGCACAGCAGGGACTACAAGTCGAGCCAAAGGGAAGCACCTGCCATTCGTAGATGTCTGGCTCTTTGTCGACTTGTAGGTTGCGCCACAGGAATCGGAAGAGGCATCGGTCTTCTGGTAGGAGGCGTACTTGATGAAACATCGCTTTGATGTCTCCTGAGATCGCTACTGCGTGTTGTCTGAAGCGGAGTAGTACACCTATGAGTGATGCACCGAGTGTTGGCCCTGGCAGAAGGTGCTCATTAAGGATCTGGTTGTTGTACCGAAAGGAGCAGTTGAATACTAGTCGATACGGTATGGTGTGGGATGAACCAGGATTCTTCGGACTTGTCTGCCTCATCCTTTGGCAAGATCCTCACGTGACCCGCATCGTTGTGTTTCTCAGCAAGCTGTGGGTATTTGTCGAGTCTCTTCTCGGTCCCCTTCAGAGTCGGTAGCACTGCCTCTTTCGGGGCATGGAATTTCGTCTCGTCCCTTTGCCTCAGGAGCGGTGTGGCGTAGCGCCGTATCCCGTTGACTTCAACGCGTTGAGGTCTCAAGCATCTGGACTGCCTGCTGATCATGCTTAGAGCGGGTAGCTTGCTTGTCATTCAGGTACGGTAGCACATCAGCCTGCCACAACCTCTCCACGTGCTGCATGATGTCGGTAGTTTGTGGAAACAGAGAAGTTTTGAAAACCTTCTGTTCTTTCAGCTGCTTCTGGTTCCCAGCAGGTCCCTGGAGGGTCCAACCCAGCTTAGTGTTGATGGCAACTGGAGCTCCACGTGTGCCAGATTTGATTGGATGTCTTGCCACGATGAGATCCGCCTGATCAGATCCAATGAGGACCTGTGGAGAAGCATTATTGATTACGGGCAACTGAAGGTGACGGAGATGGGAGTAGCGGTGTTGCAGATCTTCAACAGGACATGTGTACTGGGATAGGCACAAGTTACTGGCCGAGAAGGCTCCAGTTACAGTGTACATCACTTCAGGTTGGTCTCTAGCTGTCATCTGGAAGGTACAAGACTGGCCTTGACATTCAACAATGTCTTCACGAACAGTCCTGAGCAACATAGTCTCTGGGTTGCCATGAAGCTTAAGTCTGGCAGCTGCTGACTGGAGTAGCATGGTTCTTTCAGAACCGTCATCCAGTATGGCATATGTGTCGATGGATCCCCCTGGACCATGGAGGGTAACTGGGAGAATCTTGAGCATGACGTTGTGGGGGCGAGTTGGTTTGTCCACGAAGACTGCTTGGTTGGAAGTCTGGAGCCTATACACATGACTGGTTGCCTTCTTGGCGGCATCATGTAGTACAGTGAGGTGGATTTCCTTGCAGGTATGACAAGGCTTTTTCAATGTGCAGTCCTCTGGCTTATGAGTTCGCCCACATTTCCAACAACGTCCCTTGTCTTTGATCCATTGGATGATCTGGTCGGTGCTCAACTTCTTGATCTCTGGGCAGCCACCGAGGAAGTGCTCCTTGTTGTCGCAGTAGGGACAGTATGGTTTAGGCTTGAACTTGGGTTTGTCCTTTGTGTTCGGTGAGGCCATGAACACAGTTGGGGAAACCTCCTTCTTTGGGGCTCGGTGCTGGCTTTGTTGGTGGGTTGGTTTAGAGCCTGCTGAGATGTGTTTTGATACAGCTCTACTTGCGAAGCTCTGGGACTGTGACTTTGTGCGAAGCCACTCTGCAAACTGGGGCAAGGTGTATGTCTTGCTGCAGTTCGGTTCCAGTATGCCCTTCTTCAGGCAATGCTCCATGAAACTGTTTCGGTGAGACGGGGCCAGTTTTCCCAGCAGACGATCGACATGTGATCCACATCGAAGTTCAACTCCCTCCGCGCCCTCCAAGGCTTGAAGCATTCCAACGAGTGACAGAACATCAAGAGAAAAGTCATCAAATGCATCTGTATCTCCATACTTGATTGAAGGAGTGGACATGATGGCTCCAATTTCACTCTGCACAAGTTGTCTGGGTTGTCCATACTTGCCAGTGAGGGCTTGGAGGGCCTGGGTGTATGGTTGACTGGCGTACAGGAATGACTTGGCAAGCTTTAATGCTCGGCCACCAAGTCTGTCGATCAGTATTTGGAACTTATACTGTTCGGAAAGATGGGGATGCACATCAATGAGGTTCACCAAAGCCAGCTTGAGGAGGGCGAATTCTTTCTCTTTCCCATCAGAAAACTTTGGCAGGGTAGGTTTGGGGATCCCGTGTGATGATGCAACAAGGAGATCCATAACGGTTGGTGTTGATGACCCCGTTAAGGAGGGTACAGAAGCCATTGGGTATGGCAAGTGCGGAGGACAAGTCCCTGGAGTAGGTATGCCTTGTCTTGGAGTGACATCACTGGTTACCACTGATGCGGGTAAGGTCGCACTCACTGGGGCACCATGACAAACAGAGGTCGAAACACAGGGTAGTGTTTGCTGAATGTCCGGTGGTGAGGTCGAGGATGGGGCACCAGATGGAGTCGGATGACAGACAGAGGAGGAAACACATGGGGGTGCTTGCTGAATGTCTGGGTGAGATGTCACAAGTGGAGCACTTGGATTACCATGACAAACAGCGGATGAAACACTTGTGGATGTTTGCTGCATGTCTGGTTGTGGAGTTGAGGATGCACTCTGTGGGGGTGACTGATCGTCTGTACCCATTAAAGGATGTGATGGTGATGATTCGTTATTCAACATGGCGCTGATGGCTTCAGCCTCGCAGAGTTCCTGACGAGCAATCCGCACTCTGCGTTGACGGGATAATTTGGAGGTGAGGGCCTCACGCTCTCGCAATGCCTGTCGCTCCACTTCTTCAGCTTTAAGTCGGGCAGAGCGGGCCTGCTCGTCAAGTTTACGAAGTTGCTCATCAGCGGTCTGATCTTCCTGGAGTTGGCACTCCAGCTCGTTAAGACGAATTCTTCTTCTGAGTGTTCGCATCTTAGCTGCATCCTTATCACTAAGACCGGATAGGTGTGAGTTACGGGAACTTGATGAGCTATTAGTACGTTGGCTGCCGGAGTGCTTTGAGGCAACAGACTCATCACGGTTCTCCTTGGCCAGAACATCATCGGCATGGTGTTCAGACATTGTGGTAAAATCCGCAGGTCGCTGGTTCGAATCCGGCTCGAAGGACCATGAAAGAAAGGGCAGGACAGGAGACTGGTGACGAGTCTATGATTGGTTGATGTGCTCTCCTTTAATTACTGATTGTTCTCACATTACAATGACGAAGTAGCTGAGCTGATTAGGTTAATTCACTGATGTAAACTTTAAGCCGTGGAATGGGAGCCGTGAACTGCAATGGAGGTTGTGTAAGCCGTGTGGTAGGCCGTGGTTCTACAGGAAAACCAAATTAATACAATAATAAATATTGGAACCTACATTTATGAGGTGACATGAAAAACACATGAAAATGGACTAAGATTCATGTAATAATTTCCCCAAGTATCAACTAAATTATCTAACAAACCAAGGGATTAGATAAGCTTTTATAAGCCCCAAATTACACTAAATTAACCAGCAATAATGATTAAATATGAGGGCATAATCCTGAGTCAAAAGATCAATAAAATGTACGTACATGTACCCATAAAACAACATGTGATGAAACCCACGTTATTTATCCATTACAAACCCCCCCCCCCCAAAAAAATATCCCTTAAAATCATCTATAAATCTACTCACTGTTAGCTTCTACGCACAGCCGCCGATGGACGGCATACAGATGATTAGGAACATTTGGGTTAACCTGGGATTTTACGTTTGATTGAAGGAATAATTGCGAGGTTTATCGGAATGATTTCAGGACAAATGTGACTAAAATTGGAATCACGTTGGAATTTTCTAGATTCATAATCACGAGAGGGCGCTATACCAATTTAACGCTTAGACACTTTCGTACAAAAATGTTCCGCGGTAGCTCAAACCGCGCCCTCTATTGCCGCAACTCCTCAAATTTTTTTTACCAAAGAGCACCAAGGAATGGCAAATTGCACCAAGGCAAATGATCGAGAGCACCCAGGCAAATTATGGAGGACACCAATGTACATGAGGACACCAAAAAAGCAAAATAGTACCCCACCTTGTCTGTACAATCGAAGCTTTAAGGAAAAAAAAAAAAAAAAAAAAGCCGCGTCCCCGTGTCAATTCCGGAACTTTGGTCTGACCAGAGACCGAATATTTTTTTTTTTGCCTTAGCTTCATTGCGGAGAAGCTTCTCTCACATGAGGCTAAGCCACTAGGCCATACGTTTAGTCGATCATGCGTCATTGTAATGTTGCGTGTCTCATTACTTATAAAGAACTGACTTACTCACCTTGAATTTCAGTAAGACTGGTGGTTCTTTCTCTGGGAATTATCAAAAAATAGGAATGGAATGCTGAAACTGAAAGCACCCCGAAGCTGCTCAACGCTGAAATCCATATCTCGCGGACCCGATGATGACCATGGCATGCACGTCGTACTCATCAGACAACAGTCAGTTTTCCACTTTGTTTATCGGCAACATTTGGCTGTAGGCCTAAGGGCTCCTTTCAATATAAAATTTCAAATGGTCTAGTAGACCTACACTTTGGTGGTTTATTGATCGTAATCTCCTCGTAAAAGTACAATAAAAGCATTTACATTATTTTGTATTTTTTCTAAACAAGAAGTAAAAAACCTCGCAAAGACAGCCTAAAATTCAGCGAAATTTCTGTAATCAGGAGAAAAAAAATCTGCCAGTTGACAACCCTTTGAAAGGTCAGACCAGCTTGCCGTATTTTTATTCCAATATTGAAAGGCCATCTTAGATTTTTCAAGAATGTTAAAACTCATTTATCAAAATCATAATAATTAGAGTTTAGGAAATTAAGGAAAATTAGTAATAGTTCGTCCATCGTCCTTCGGGAGTTTTGGTCATGTCTTGTAAACCCCTTTCATTACCCGGCATCAGAATTAGCCAAAAAAAGAACTTTTGTTGAGGCGTGGTCTATTAATTTCAAGGAATTTTAATTGGTCGATTATTATTATTTAGCTTATATGAATGGAGGAAAAGTTTGTGCGTGGACGATTCGCGTGATATCGCTGACTGAAACTGTGTGATCCACGGACCACCTGTCTATAATACGTGTTCCATGGTGTGAGCGAGCAGTGCAGTGGGTGTTAATACGCATTTTAGATTATCATTATGCGCTATGTCACGCCGGTTGTCAGCTTACTGGTCCGCGGTCGCCGGTAGAAGGGTCGTTTCTAAGTGGTCATCATGTGGATCATTTGCGACTATTTAGATTTAGATCAATGATAATTTTTTTAGAAACTCAAAATCTCAGTGAGGGGGGTGGGGGGGGATGGGGACGACGGGGGGGGGGGGGGGCGACA